AGTTGGACAGGACTGAAACAACTGAACAACAACAACAAAATTCATTGTCTAGGGAAGGTAGGTGACTCAGTTGATAGAGTGCCAGGCATGGAGTCAGAAAGACTCATCTTCCTGAGTTCAAATCTGGCCTCAGACACCTTGCTAGCTCTGTGACCCTGGGCAAGTCACTTAACCCTGTTTGCCTTTGCAAACATGGGGATAATATTAGTAGCTACCTCCCAGGGTTGTTGTAAGGATCAAAGGAGATAATAACTGTGAAGTGTCTGGCACATAGGGAGCACTATGGAGATGTTAGCTATTGTTATTATTATTTCCAGGAACTGAAGTCAAGTTCACTGACCTGTAATTCACAGACTCCACAGTGGTCTGTCAAATAGTCACTCTGTCACCTTCCTGTTTCTAATAACAAGATTTTTGTGAAGAAAGCACTTGGTAAACTATTATTATAAAAACTGAAATTATAGAAATGTGAGCTGCTTAACAGAGATGAGCAGCACCTTTTTTCAGAACCAATTGGCTAAAATGTTACATTTCTATGCTTGTTAGATTCAGACAGCAGGTTATCAATTTGAAATATTGAAGTGGATTCCATACCGTGATTCAACTTGGTGTGGTAGGTGAGCTTCATTAAAGCCAAAAGTCATACAAATGACACAGGGAGACCTCTGGGTCTTTAATCAGAATGCTTAAGGGAAATGGTTTGTTCTTAGCATTGCAAACCATAGCTTTCAAAGTTCATCTTGGAAATTTCCTGTCTCTGCTGCTCAGCTGGAATCATTGAGTTTTCTACTATTGTGCAATAAAAGAGAATTGATATTTTATATTTAAATACATTTTAAAAGCATAGTTTTCCCTTTCAGAACGTCCCTTCTAAAGAACCACAGCAATTAAGCATTTAGGCAAATGTAGCTATGTAATATTATAGCCTGGTGAAACATGAATTTTGGACAGATTTTTAAAAAAATATTAGAATAGAAATAAAGGACAAGGCCAGGAGACATGCAGCTTCTTGGAAGCAATTTAGTGAAGGATGCTTCCTTGACAGAGAAGAATTTGATTCTGACTGCTATTACTGATAAAATACTAACTGCTTTGGAAAGCTTACTCCAATGTCCATTCCCATTTCTTGGTTCTCAGTCAACAGGATTTATTGCATGGGTGCAGAGTTTTTTATGTGGCGGTGAGAACTTCATAGACTATTCTCTTAAAAATTCCTTCAAGCCCAAGGTCACAAGATTGGATTCAGAGCTAAAAGGGAGGGGCATTAGAAGTCATTGAGTCCAACCCCTTCATTTTGTAGATGAGGATCTGAGGCCCAAATAGATTAAATTACTTATCCTGGGTCACACAGCTTGTTTGAGGACAGATTTGAACTAAAGTCTTCCTGATTCTAGGACTAGATTCCACTTGTTTTATTTCATAATGGATCACTGTGGTCATTACATTAAACTACTTTTCTTATTCACATGCCTAAGTCTGGTGAAAATGAACTCTCTCCCATCCTCACTTCCCTAAACTCCATTATGACCTCTCTATTGTTAAATTTAAAAATTGAGTTTTTGGATAGCGATCTTTATTATTCTAATAAAGAAAGATAGGCAGCCCTTTAAAATATAAACCTTATCTTGGAGCCACTTGCTTAAAGACATTTCTTTAAACGACCAGAGGTTTTCAGTGCTTTGAGGAGTATTCCTGTTCTGGAGAGATTTATCTACCTAGTTCCATCCACGTTGTGAAGATCAATCAAATAGCCATTTTAGCAGCAGAGGTGACACTAATGACATCTTGGCATGGCTCACAATGGCACATATATTTAAATGGGGCACCATGGTGGCTTTGATTCACTTATTATAGGTATTTTCAGGCATTATTTCCTAAGTCCTATGAAGCTGAGGAGAGCAATATACTCAGTTATTGATCCAAATTCAATTTAAATTGAAAGAATTTCAGGAAGATAAAAAAAAAGTAGATCAAAGTTTGGGCAATGATGGCGGTACAAGTGCATTTTTTTTCTGTACCCCTCAGTTTTTTTCTTTTTTTTAAAATTAATTTATTTTGAGTTATCAACAATCACTTCCATAAGCTTTTGAGTTTTAAATTTTTCTCCCCCTCCCAAGATGGCATGCAATCTGATATAGACTATGAATATACATTCATATTAAACATATTTTCACGTTAGTCATGTTGTAAGGAAGAATTAGAACCAATAGGAGGAACCGCAAGAAAGAGGAAACAAAACAAAATGGAAGGAAAAAAAAGAGCAAATAGTATACTTTGATCTGCATTCAAACTCCATAGTTTTTTCTTTGGATGCGGTTAGCATTCTCCAACATAAGACTTTCGGAGATATCTTAGATCCTTGTATTGCTGAGAAGGGTTAAGTCTATCAATATTAGTCATTGCACAACATGGCTGTTACTGTGTACAACGTTCTCCTGGTTCTGTGAGTGAATCAGCATCAGTCCATACAGATCTTTCCGGGTTTTTCTGAAGTCAGCCTGTTCACATTAGTGAACAGCACATTAGTATTCCATTACATTCATCTACCACAACTTGTTCAGCTATTTCCCCAGTTGATGGGCATCCTCTCCATTTCCAATTCTTGGCCACTACAGAAAGAGCTGCTATAAATATTTCTGTACGTGTGTGTACATGTGTTATGTTTGATTTCATGTTAAGAACATCTCAGTCACAAACAGCAGGCCCCGAGTGAGCTCATTGGCCTGTGTCTGGCACCTACTAAGTGCTTAATAGATGCTTATCAAATTGATTGATTGATTTCTTACTAATGATACTCTCACTGGGTTCCCTGAACCATTTCTCATAGTAAATATACCATTCTTTTGTATCCATTCCAACAGATCCTGGACCAGCCATTGATGTCAGGAAAATACCAGACATGGTGTGCTATAGGGCATACGTAGCTCGGCCTGAACCAACCTATTAAAGATTTGGGAACTTCTGGGCCTCTGTCAATCAGACAAAAAGGAAAAAACTGCACTCAAATTGATAGAAGGACCAGTCAAGTCAGTCAACCAATAAACATTTATTAAGAGCCTACTATGTACTAGGCATAACTAGGTAGTGCAGTGGATAGAGCTCCAGGCCTGGAGGCAGGAAGACCTGAATTGAAATCCAGCCTCAGACACTTACTAGCTCTGGGAACCTGGGCAAGTCATTTCACACTGTTTGCCTCAGTTTCCTCATCTGTAAAATGAGCTAGAGAAGGAAGTGGCAAACCACCATTCCGGTATCTTTGCCAAGAAAACCCCAAATGGGGTCACCAAGAGTTGGACAAGACTGAAACAACAACATGTATCAGGCACTGTGCTAAGTGCTGGACCACAATATACTTTGCTAAGAAATACTGAGCAAATGACCGCTATTTACTATAAACTGAATTAAAAGATGATTGCTACCTTTTCTGTGAGATGGGTTCTGGGAGTTAGGGTTGGGGTGGGAAGATGGGGATTTATAGACCCTGGTCAGCAGGCCAGGTGGATGAATTTTAAGTGACAAGTTCAGTTTTTAGTGGCAATCCTTTCCCTAATACTGTCATTATGTATTGATCCTTACTGGCAAGGCGAATAGTTGCAAACATTAAAATGCAGTCTCTTCTTTAAAGTTTTGCTACCAAGAATTCAAAGGAAGTACAAAGAATGCTGGATTTGAGGTGTCAGAAAAACTGGGACGGATGCCTGGCTTTGCAAATGAACTAATAACTGCAAAAGCGCTATGTAAATGCTAGCTATTCTCCCCTATTAGAATGTAAACTGCATGAAGGCTGGGACCATGGTTTTGTCCCTTTTGTGCATCCTCAGGGCTTAGCACAAAGCCTGACACTTAGTAAGCACTTAATAAATATTTGCTGAGTGACTCATTGTTACTGACTAGTGGTATAATCTTAAACAAGTGATGATGGATCTGGATCTCAGTTTCCCCTTCCAAAAAATGTGATGGGGCTGGACTAGACTCAATTCAATAAACGTTTCATAGAAGTATGGAATCAGAAATTTGGAACCTTAGCTATGTTAGGCATGAGGAGGCAGGAATGGGTGTAAAGATAAATTATATAGACCCTACCCTCCAGAAGCATACAGTGTAGTAGTGAGGAAATACCTGTTCACAAATAAATATAATGTAAAGTAGAGTTTGAAGGGCATGACAGGCAAGGGTGGGCTGGTAAATGTTTTAACAACCAGCTTTGGGGTGGGGGTGGGGTGGGATTTACCCACCGCACATTTTTAAATTTAATCTTCATTATCAAGATTTTATATTTTTTCCATCACTTTCTTAAGTCTAGAAAATCACCAAAACAATAAATCAAGCCCTGATTTGTAGCATGTGCTAATTTCCAAGGTATAGATGCTCACACTAAAAATTAACCAGCTCAGGGCAGCTAGGTGGATAGAGCACCAGCCCTGGATTCAGGAGGACCTGAGTTAAAATCCGACCTCAGACACGTAACACTTACTGATTGGGCAAGTCACTTAACTCCGTTGCCTAGCCAAAAAAAAAAAAATTAATCAGCTCTCATGATATGCTTTGAGCTGGCTTCAGTACACCCCTGAAGGGCAATGAGAGACTAGAAATGGAAAGGACTGCTTCCAGATGGGGATCCAGGAAGGTGTCATGGAGGAGATGACATCTGAGCTGAATTCTGAATGATGGGTAAGATTTCAACCAGGTTGAATGTTGGGAGAAGGGTACTATGGTTGGAAGAAATATGCGCAAAGGCACAGAGGTGGGAAAACATGGAAGATATTTGGGGAATGCTAAGTGGTCCCATTGTGCTATAGAGGACCCAAAATAGGACTTACCCGAGAGATCTACCCTGCTCTCTATTTACTTTTATGGGTCAGTAAAGATGTCAACTAAAGCCCTCCCTTGGGCTCAATGTACACAAAGGCTTTAATCTCTCTCATACAGTGCTGGCCAGTACCCAACTTGACCCCAAAGTTCTCTTCCCCACAGAGAGTGAAACCCTAAAATGAACTTACTCCTATGATTGTCTGATGCTCCTTCTGGGTTGGGGCGGGCACTCCTCCAGGGCCCGTACCAAAGACCTCAGGACCAAGATGGCAAGGTACCCGTGTCCTCTTGCTTCAGCCGACCATCAGCTCTAATTCTGCTTCTCTTCTTGCTCTTCCTCCAGTTTTGTGTCCACTCTAGATGCCAGATCTAGAGCTAAAAGGGATCACAAATGCCACCAAGTCCAACCTCCTGTTTTTAGAGATGAGGAAACTGAGTCAGCCTTCGGAGAAGTGGTGCTTTGTATGTGGCTCAGCTCTCTGTTAGTCATGAAAGCAGGTGGCCTTGGGGGCAGCTAGGTGGCACAGTGGATAAAGCACTGGCCTTGGATTCAGGAGGACCTGAGTTCAAATCCAGCCTCAGGCACATAACACTTATTAGCTGTGTGACCCTGGGCAGGTCACTTAACGCCATTGCCTAACGAAAAGAAAAGAAAGTAGGTGGCCCAAGGGCCCAAAACTTTATTTTTTAATATTTATTTATTCTTTCTGCTGACATTAACAAACATCAAATAAAATGGGCATTTCCATACACACAGAGTAGAACAGAAAAAGGATTGTACATGAAAGTGCAGATATCTGTTCTGTATAGCTTGCTTTTCTTTTTAAGTATATAATAATTCAACAAGTAATTCTTAAAGATGTCCTGCTTGCCTGTGATGCTTCAATGATTTCTTTTTTTTTTTTTTGAGGGGGCTACCCTAGCTTCCTTAGCTATCACTAGCTTTTCTCTTCCTCTTACCAATCCACCAAGCAAAATTAAAAAAGAAAAACAATGTTCATTGCAATAAACATGCACAGTCAAACAAAACAAATTCCTGCAATGACTATATCCAGAAAAATATGTCTCAAGTTTGTACTTTAGTTTTTCTTCTATCAGTAGGTGGGTAACATCTTTTATCATGAGTCCTCTGGAATTCGGTTGGTCAGAATTCCTAAGTCCTTCAGAGCTGTTTATCTTTACAATGTTTTTGTTATTGTACAAATTGTTCTTACAGTTCTGCTAACTTCACTCTGCATCAGTGCATGCCAGTCTCCCCAGGTTTCTCTGAAACCATTCCTTTCATCATTTATTTCAGTACAATATTATTCTGTTACAAGAGGAAACAAGGACAGTGGAAGTGGGGATAGGGGTGGGGGTCAGAACGAGAGTAGGGGGAGCAGTGAGGAACACCCTTGTGCACCTGCGCTCTAATCCCTCCTTAAGGGAAGAGAAAGGATTTGCTGCTTCAGTTGCATCCCTGAAACAAGATGGTGAAGGTTGGAGTCAACAGATTTGGCAGTATTGGCCACCTGGTGACCAGGGCTGCTTTCAACTCAGGTGCAGTAGATATTGTGGCCATCAATGACCTCTTCATTGACCTCAATTATATGGTTTACATGTTTCAATATGATTCCACCTTTGGGGAGTTCAAGGGCACTGCCAAAGCTGAGAATGGAAGGCTGGTGATCAATGGAAAAGCCATTACCATCTTCCAGGAGGGATCCCACCAATATGAAATGGGGAGGTACTGGAAATTAATAATGGTGTCTTTAGCACTGTGGAAAAGGCTGGGGCTCACTTGAAGGGTGGAGCCAAGCAGGTCATTAACTCTACCCCTTCTGCTGATGCCCCAGTGCTTGTTATGGAGCCATGTTTGTGAACCATGAGAAATATGATAATTCTCTGATGATAATTCCTGCCTCCTTATTCTCTTAAGAATTCTCTTTTCTTAAGGAATACCTCCTGCACTGCCAACTGCTTGGCTCCTTTGGCCAAGGTCATTCATGACAACTTTGACATTGTAGAAGGACTCGTGACTACAGTCCATGCCATTACTGCTACCCAGAAGACAGTAGATGGCCCCTCTGGCAAGATGTGGCATGATGGGCTTGGTGCTGCCCAAAACATCATCCCTGCTTCCATTGGTTGTAGGCCAGGTCATACTTGAGCTGAATGGGAAGCTCACAGGCATGACCTTCCATGTTCCTACTCTCAATTTATCTGTTGTGGATCTGACCTGCTGCCTGGAGAAACCTGCCAAATACGATGATATTAAGAAAGTGGTGAAGTAAGCATCAGAGGGATCCTTGAAGGGCACGAAGGATCAGGTTGTATCTTGTGACTTTAACAGTGACATCCACTCTTCTACCTTTGATGCTGGCGCTGGTATTACCCTCAGTGACCATTTTGTCAAGCTCATTTCCTGGTATGACGAGTATGGTTATAACAACCATGTAGTAAACCTCATGGTCTACATGGCCTCCAAGGAATAAAGTGGAAAGCCATGGATCTCCATCCCAAGCCATAAAAGGAGTTCTACCACTGGGGAGTCCACATCCCTAACCTATGTTCCTATTCATATCCTTGTCCCAAAGCACCTCTGTGGTAGGAAGAAGCCTAGAGTTCTATATTATGTACCATCAATAAAGTCACCATATTCAGTACAAAAAAATAAATTATTCTGTTATGTTTATATACCACACTTTTTCAGACAAGGCTATAACAAAGAGAGCTGCTATAAAACTTTTTGTGCATATGGGTCCATCTCCTCTTTCTTCAGTCTCTTTAGGGTTTCAGGCCCTGAAATTAGGACAAATAGGAGTAACCAATTGGGAAAAACAGTAAATGGTCCCAGTGCTAAAGCAGGAATGCTTTCAAATGGCCAAGTGTAGTTACTACTCTGATTATTGGCTTAACAAAAAACAAGCAATAAACCGCAACAGAAATGTAACATGACCATCCTGTTCTCTGCAATTATTTTTGCATGGCTTTTCTAGCATCTGGGGTAAAACTCTGAATATTTATTATAGACACAACTAATGCAGATAGGGAAGGTGGAGAAAGTAGGATCTGTAAATCTGGATAGGGCCATAGCAGATTTTTTAAGCCTAATGATTTTTAAAAAACTATATACAAGTATGTCCCATTCTTTCTCCTTTTCCTTCTCATGTTTTTTTTTTAATGAACTTAGTAATAATATGAGTAATATGAATAGTCACACTGATGCTCTATAAAACCCATATTTCTCATTTGCTGTACATTTATTTTTATCTCCAGTGCAGTATCCCTGGCACATAGTAGGTACCTTAATAAATCATAATTGACTGATTGATTGACTGACTAACAATCTCTGTCTAGAGTATTTGAACATTCCATCTGTGTGCTCTGTAAATGCTAAATGCTTAGTAAATGTTTATTAAATGAATGCACTAAAGGCTAGTACCCTCCACTATACTTTTCATGTATTCCTATTATATTTGCATATGCAATAGTATAGCTATAGTGTATAGTATACACAACCTATATTATTCCATAACAAAGATTTTCATAAGCAAACCATAGGGTTCAAGTGATACCATGGGAATGTAGCAAGGAAGAGAAAAAGAAATAGAGAGGAATAACAAAACTACAAATATTCTCCAAGCACTCTAAATTAAAGCTTGAAAAACCACAGTGCTTTGTAAAATATCACATCCAATTGCTGGTTAAAAAAAAAAAAGTCTTCTGAAACACCCTGTACGTACCACAAACTGAGGGTAAAGCATTTGCTGACCTTGCTGAAGCCCAATCCATGGGCTAAAACTAGCCAATCCCCACGTTGAGAGCTGTAGGCAGCAGTGCTGGACAATAATGAAAACCTAATGACTTCCTTTTAGCAAAGTGCTGAGCTTGTCTTTGAACTGAGAATTTGGGGGAGTGCTAAAAGTGATCCAGGGGAACTGGTATGACTTTTAACCCTTTGGAGGTTAGGAAGGGAGTGGTTACCATGCATGTTAGAGCTGGAAGAGGCGTCAGAAATTGAATAGTCGAACATCTCTCTTTTAAAGAAGAGAAAACTGAGGTCCAGGGAGTTCAGGAATTAGTTTAGGTTCTCATTTAAAAGGCGGCACTCTAATAACATAGAAACTCATAGTCTATAAAGCTGACTCCAAAGACATTAGTTATATATGTGGGCAGCTCACAAATAATGACGAAAGGTGTATTTTCCTCAGGGTCATCAAGGCCCTGGTCCTTATTAAGTTAATGATCAATTCAAATGAACACCAGTTCTATAAGAAGTTCCCTGGTGACTTCAGGCCTAAACAGGAAATGATTGACATTGCTTACCTACAGGACGTAAGTCATCTACCAGAATGAAGCATATTGGAAAATGCAAGGGCACTGTTGTAACCTCAGTTCTAGCTTTTCCTTCTCAAACCAGGAGAGCGACATGTGACCAGTATTACAGATGACAGCTTTATTGACCTACCTGTTACTGAAGGGGAAATCGCTGCTGCCTCTGTAATATCCGTGACTCCTGACTGCAATTGCTTGACCTGTCCTGTTTTTCACTTGCTTCCTGAAATACTGATCATGCAAACCTTTTGGGAAAAGGTTTGAACTTCACAACCATACCTCACGGCTTTTTTTACCGAAAGTTTGAAAAGTGCACCTATGTTGGGAAAAAAAAACCCTTATTCTCTCTACAATGGAATAATGTCAGTAGGATTCTGTGTTTTTTAAGTGTGTGATTGCCAGATAGCTCATATCTGTTATCAGTTATCTTCCTAATGTTCCTGGTGTGAACCGCTGGAGAAATCTATACACAATAGAGTTAATTCATTCTTCTAGGACAACAAAGTTGGGTTAAAATCTATAAAACAATTTCATCACGACAAGGCACTCAAAGTACATACATCCTTTCCAAGTACCCAAAGACAATCCAAATAATCTTAACAAAACAGGTGATTTCAGGAATCCAGGCCCAAGGTATTAGAGTTATTTCTTTGTTTTAGAATGAGGAATAACCCTTAGTTTTCATATATGGCTTCATTTTTTTTAATAGACTGTGTAAGTTCCAGACAAAAGAAGGATTTTTATAAATAATGAGATTCTCCAAATGCTCCTATTTACAGACTGTATTGTACTAATTGCATCAAACCCCTAAATACAGAAAAACGTCCTCAGGAAAAATTTATGTTCATGTGAAAGAGATCATTTTAATCATCCCCATGGGAATAACAAAGTGGATGAAAAGCACATTACCTATATAATACCATTAAGCTGGACAGGTAAAATATCAATAATTGTATCTTAGACAGGTGCTTCAAATGAACAATGAGCTGATCCAGGAATTGTGTAGGCTATATTCTTGGGATCATAGATCTAAAGGTAAGGTCAAACTGGATGGGAAAGTGTCAATTGCTTTCAATGATTCCACATGGATTGCCTCTGGAAAAGCCTACTCTTTTTATGACAATATTTACCTGCTAATGCTATATGGTCACAAATAATGAAGCACTATTATCTCAGAAGAGTTAAAATGTTAAAATATTCCCAGATGTAATGGGGAGATGTAAGTTGCTGTGTCTTAACTAATGATAATTCCCATGCAAGAAGTAGCATGTTATCAAGAATATCTATGCCTGGAAAAGGATGATCAATCATGTAAAAAGAATGAGAAACAACAGATGGGTGGCCTGCATGGTACAGTGGTACTCCCAATATATTAAAAGAGCAAGAGGAAAGCTGCTAGTGAGTTAGATAAATCCTATATGGAACACTTATAGGAAAACATGGACAAGATGGCACATGATGAACAGGCAAGGAAGAAGTGCATCTGTGTCCATTGTCCAGGGTGTCCCACAAGTCTGAGGGAGATTTTAAGCTACTGAAGCTTAAACCAACACTAAGACTTTTTAAAGCTTTAGCTTCAAACCACATTAAGATTTTTGGGACACCCTATATCCTTATTCTAATAAGACCAAAGACCAGAGTTGCTGGAGGCAGTTTGAACCAGCAGCCTATGGTTATATTTTGAATGTGAGCATATACATCTCTGAAATCAGTAAATGCTGTAAGTCAGAGCTTAATTTATTGTTTTGTTGATTGTCTAGACTTAAGAAAGTGATGGAGAAAATAAGGCATATTAAACTTAACAGTGTGCCCATCTGCATTTTTTTAGGGAGCTGATTGTTAAATATTTACCAGCAAACCTCCACCACAGACCCATCTGTGGTACCCACATGGACTCCAGGCAGGCTAATCAGATTCAGCTTTATTAGATTTTACTATCATGATTACTAATTATTTTATTCAATTTTACCATTATAATAACAAATATAATTACTATTATGAGGAGTAAAAGCTCATATTTATATACTCTCTTATGATTGCAAAGCCCTTTGCTCATGTTAGCTCATAACTCCATGAAGTAGCCAAGTTTAACTCTTGTTTTTCCTATTTTAGAGTAGGGCATTCTAGGACAGAGAGGCCAGGTGACTTGCTTAAAGTCACCCAGCTAATAAATGTATGAGTTGGGACTTGTTCCCAGTTTTTATTACTCCAAGGCCAGTGTTGCCATGCTCACAGACCAACAAAGATACTGAAAGAGAGGTGTGGGATTATGGCTACAGTACTATTTTACAGGATACTCACAGATTAGCAGGCCAAAAGATTTATTGAAATTCCTTGTAATTTCCCCACAGGGAAATTTTAGCCATACTGAAGGAATGTGGGAGTGGTGGGGTGGGGAGGGGGAGGGTAGATTCACTTTTAAAGGCTATGTCATTTCTAGGGAAATTAGTCCTGGGTGGGGTGAAGTTATGCATTGAGAACCTTTAAATACCCAGGGGACACAATGAAGACACTATATCTTGTTTGCGTGTAAGGATAGGTTTACAGAAAGTTGTAAGGGGACAGTGACCCAGAAAGGGAGGTGGCACAGTGCTAAATATTTATTGAGTAACTACTGCGTGCAAGCATGGTAGTGTGAGATACAAAAAGGTAGAAAGCAAGGTCCTTACCCTGGAGAAATTTATTAAGGAGTGTTCCAAAACACTCTATATAGTTGGAAGAAATGAGACAATCATGTGAAAAGTGAAAGATTTAAATAATTTAAATAAATAATAGTTCAGGAAAGCATACCACAAGGCACTGTATGATTAATTGCTAAATGAGTTGCACAGACAAAAGTCTCTAGAGGATTCTAGGAAGGAAGAAAACAAACACTTATTAAGCACTCACTACATGCCAGGCTAAGCACTTCATCCGTACAACAACCCTGGGTTATTATTGTCCTCATTTTTTTTTGACAGATTAGAAAACTGAGGCAGAAAGAAGTTAAGTGACTTACCTAGGATCACACAGTTAATAAGTATCTGAGATTGGATTTGAACTCAGGTCTTCTTGACTCCAGGCCCAGAATTCTATCCACTGAACTCCCTAGCTATTTTTACCACTTCAGGAAGAGATTAATAGGAAAGTCTTTCTGGAAGTGGTGAGCAGGTTTGGTAAAGAGAAAATTTACCTTCTCTTCAGTCTTGTCTCAGGTGCGCATGGCACCAACCACATATAAGTGGGGGGAAAAAATCTATTTTCCATGCCACCATCGGCACAAGTTGGCTTAGCAGGCTTTTTGGGACCAGTTAACAGGAAAGCGCAAGTACTCAGTTCAGATTAATTCCTTTACATTATCAGTCACGTATTTTAGTGTGAATGAGTTAAATATCCTTTCCTGAGAGAAAAAAAGTTTAGATAGGAGGAGTAAAAGGGCAGCTAGGTAGCACTGATATGGTTCAGGGTTGCTGGGAACCCTGAAATGTCAGGGTACAGGGCGGTGTCTGCCTGGAATGAATTCACAAACTCAAACTTTCTTCAAGTCAAGGGACAGGGTTTATGGTAAGGCCAAATGTGGTGGGCAAGATTCTTAGGGAACCTTCAATTTAATGGAAGTAAGATTGATGCTTATATACAAAAAGGACAGTGAAAAGAATCTTGATGGGATTCGGGAGGGCTAAGTGGTCTGGGGTGGGCCAAGAGCAACAGTGAAAGGACATCAAATAGGCTAATTAGGTGATCTGGGTGGGCTGAGGTGGGTCAGCTGCCATGGGTGGAAATGTCAGTGATCTGGCTACTGAAATGTGTGGGAAAATTCAGGGACTGGATTACTTTCAAAGACATGGTCTTTTCCTTTTAGGGGTCCAGGTCCCATTACCCTATCAGCACAATGAACAGAGTGTCAAGCCTGGAGTCAGGAAGACCTGAGTCAAATCTAACCTCAGTCACTTCCTAGCTGTGTGACCCTGGGCAACTCCCTTAACCAAGTTTACCTCTGTTTCCTCATCTGTAAAATGAGCTGGAGAAGGAAATGGCAAACCACTCCAGTATCTTTGTCAAGAAAACCCCAAATGGAGTCACAAAGATTGAGACATGACTGAACAAAAACAGAAGGAGAAAAAGCTATGCAAGCCCACGGAAATAATATTAAGTAAAGCAAAGAGTCCAAAGTAGAAACAAATAGCTTTACCCCACCACTTTGTTTAGGTTCAGTCATGATGAAGAAGTATAGTCAAGGCTGTATTGGTAAATATTTAACAAGAATTATCACTGGGAAAGCAAAATACACTTTTGAGTTTAATTTGATTATAATGGCATTTTCTTTATTGCTTTATTGCTTTTTTAAGTCTAGATAATCAATAAAACAATAAATCAAGCCCTAATTTGTAGTTTGCTACAACTGACTCTCCCTTTCCTGTACAAACTGGCTCCAACACTCCAAAACAGAGGGCCCTGGATTTGAAATGAGAAAATCTAGTCCTGAATATTGACTTTGCTACATGCTTCCTGTGGGACCCTTTACTTCCCTTGGATTTTGTTTCCTGCTCTGTAAAATGAAGGGATTGTACCAGAAGATATCTCTAAGGTCTCTTGCAGCTCTGATTTCTGGGGATTTCATGATCCTTTATTTCCCCATTGTAAGTCCTGGATAGAAATATTGTTATTTGTCCTTTGTTTGAAGAGAATCAATGATGTCACAGGCTGATGTCTTGGCTTGTATGTGAATTGGATTTAAGTGAGGTAGAGCTGCACAAAACCATCAGTTTCACTCTCTTTTCCAGAGTCATCAAAGGCCAATGGGACCTTGGCATCTTCAATGTCTGACCAAGCCTCTAAGCCCTCCACAGCTTCTGCTTGGGCTGCCTTCGTGGCCATTGGAACAAATGGTTCTCATTCACCCATTCCACTGGGAGAAGTCTTCACATAGTTGGGGTAGACATTCCCCCTAACTCATCGACCAGTTTGAGGCCTGTCAGTTACCCTCAAACTGGTTTAGCTCTACTGCCAAGACAGTTTTTACTGAGGATAGAGATTTAGAATGCTTCTATAGTGAGGGTCTAGGGGTCCAGATAGGGGCAACTATCCCAAAAATGTAGGCATGACATACTTTCAAATTTAATCTCATTATTAACATTTTCTTAAGTTGAAACAACCAACAAAATAATAAGTCAAATTCTGATTTGCAGCATTCATTGATTTCCAAGGTGTGAATGATCACACTGAAAATTTAACAATCTTTCAGGGCCAGGAGCTAGCTCTAGCATACTTCTACCCTGATAGAAGTGTTTAGGCTACTAGAATCTACCTGCTACTTCCTCTTGGCTGACTCCCACCTTCAGGTGGAAAGGGGCATCCTTTCTCAAAACTTTATTTCCTGGGAATGTGACTTTACCTTAGTCAAAGCTTCCAATCTCACTCAGAAGCAGACCATATAGTCAGTATAGTGGAGAGGGTGAATTTTCTTGAAGCAGCTTCCTTTCTAAGGAAGCCTCCTTTCCTAATGCCACTCTTTTAAGGGGGAGGAAAGAGAAGGGGAAGGGAATAAGCATTTATATAGTGCCTACTGACTAGCCACTGTTCTAAGTGCTTTTACTCCTTTGATCCTCTAAACAACCGGGGGGGGGGGTGGTAAGTGCTATTATTATTCCTATCTTGAGGAAACTGAGGCAAATTTGGTCAGGGTCACACAGCTAGTGTCTGAGGCCAAAGTTGAACTAGGGTGTCCCTAACTTCAGGCCTACCTCTCCATATACTGCATTCTCAGCTGCCTCTGATTCAGCTCTTTGGTGTCCAGGAGGATTCATGAGGTCCATCCAGGTTCACATGCATTGTTGTTCCACTTGGGAGTACACAAAATTGCTTAAAAATAAATAGCAATAAATTTTTTTCCCTTATTGACTCAAGTCTCATAGGCAGGTTAGAGTCATGGTGACTTAGACAAAGGGTCCAAACCTCTATTCTTTTGTCCTTGTATACCACAGGCCGTTCTTTCTCCTTCCTTTTCACAGATAATGAAATAAGAACCAGGAATGAGTAAGATTGGTCCTTTATTCAGGTTGCATTTGTACTCATTAAAACAAAAGGAACAAGCATAACTTTAAAACTATGAAACAGGAATTTGCTCTCTGGGGAGGACGAGAGAGAGAAGATGAAGAAGGGGGTGGGGAAAGTGTCACCATCATCCATTTCAGCAGAATCAAGTGGCCACAGCATCTCTCATGGGGCTCTAAGGCAGGCAAAAGACATATCTAGCCTCCTTTCCCCAGACCCTTCTCCAAAAGGGACTTTCATTCCTGCCACAAGAGGAAGCAGAAGGCTGGGGCAGAGGCCACTGTGTTCTCCTCAGAGAGAAGGGGCAATGGGGTAGAAGAATGGGGGTCCACACATATACACACATGGAGTTTTTACTACTCTACACACATGTCATCTGCTCAAAGTAAAATGTAATCTCCTTGAATGCAGGAATTGTTCTGTTTTTGCCTTTCTTTCCCTAGAACCTAGCAAAACTCATAGTTGTCGTTGAGTCATTTTAGTTGTGTCCAGCTCTTTGGGACCCCATTTGGGTTTGTTTGTTTGTTTTTGTTTTTGTCTTTTTGGCAAAGATACTGGAGTGGTTTGCCATTTCCTTCTCAGCTCATTTTACTCACAGTAAGCATTTCGAAAATGTTGAATTGAATTAGAGATTGTCTAGACGAGAGGATCTTGACTGGACCCCTTGGGCAGTGTGGTGAAACTCTTGGACCCCTTCTCAGGATGTTTTTTAAGTAATTGAAGGAAATGCTAAATTTCTGTTAGAGAATAGTGAAAATAAAGATTTAATGTCTTTTTTCCCCCTATCCAAGTTGACAGACTCCCACCTCCCCCCAGAAATCTATCTACAGATCCCTTTGGTGATCTCTGGACTTCAGATCAAGGACGCCTGCTATAGACCAACTCTTCCTTTCCAGGCCCCGCTCCTTCGGGGAGGAGGAAACAAAGGCTCAGAAGGAAGTGGGGTGAGAATCTTACCCAAGGTCACACAAATAGCAAGAAGTAGAGGCAGGATAAGAATCCAGGTCCTCTGACTTCAAATCTTTCCATGGCACTAGTCTCAATCCCAAAGGAAGCATGAATTCCCTCCAGTGACTAGAGATTCTGAACCTCATTGTTGCTAGCACCCTCCCCACTCCTCATCCAAATCACCTCACATATATTTTATCTTTGTATTTCCCTTTACATCGATTATACTTATTTGTCTATGTACACATTATTTCAATTGAATGGAAAGTTTTTGAAGACAAGACTTTTTTTGTGTGTGTGTCTTTGCATTTCTTTGCACCAGCACAGAGCATAGCACATAGTGAGGATTTAATAAGTGTTTATTCAATGCATAAATGAATGTGCCCACAACTCTCATGTAATAGTCTTATTCACCTATTCTAGTAGAGAAAGAAGGCACCTAGATTATTATCCAATAACATTGTTCTCTTTTATGAGACTGTAACCTCATGGAGCAAAAAAATATTAAAATATTGTTATGCCCACAGTAGGTACTCACCTGTCTTTAGAAAATGGTGAAATATGTCTAAGCTATATCAGATTGCTTACTGTCTTAAGGAGGGGAGAGAGGAGGGAGGGAACGATAGAATTTGGAATTCAAAACATTAAAAAAGAAACCCCTCAAATGTTAAAAATTGTTTTTTATATAATTGGGGGAAACATTTAAAAATATTTAAAAAAAATAAAAAGTGGTAAAAAAAAAAACCAAGGCTTTGAAAATCCCTACCCAGTAATTACAAGGCAACTTAAATTTGATGTCCAATCTTCTAAACCACACTTCTGTATTTATTTAGAGAATGGGCCTTTCCTGGCAGGTTTATATTTTAATTTGTATTCCATAAGGTTTGTTTGTTAATTTGCATTTCTCTTTTATGTTCCATTTTTCTTTTCCTCAAACTTTGGGTGCTCTGTTATGAAGCACAAGCTGAATGCTTCACTCACACAATTAAGCAGGACCTTTCATACCCCTTTTCTGTTCACTACAAACAAGAGAGGGGCCCCTGGCAGGCTCTCACTGTGGTTTATGAATATTCCATAGGCAAAAACTGAACCAAACTATTCCTTCCATGCAAAAAAAAAAAAGAGTTAACACCTACCTCCATATGTCAGATAGGCTATTCTGTATTGTTGGAGTGAGGAGAGGTCTGGCATTTTACACACACCCAGCATGGACCTGATCAGAGAACATTTCAGTTATATGCCTGTTTACATAGTAAAGCAAACAGCTCTCAATATTTCATTCACTCTAATGTGGCCTTCTGACTTTTAGTACACACTGTGATTCTGCCTGAGTGCAGTCCCTCTCTCTCTGTCTCTGTCTCTCTCCCTCCCACCCTCTCTCTTTTTCACTCCCCTCCCCAAACCCTACAGCATCTTCACTGCCAACATCATGAAAGCAGCTGGTGCTTCTGGATGAAGAGAAAAAAAAAAGACACATACAAGCCATTCTTTTAATTGCCAGCAGACAGTATTTTCTCCTTTCATCTCCAGCCCCTTCAGATTTCTAACATTCAGAAAGCCAGACTCTTAATGATCATACTTGCTAAGAGTGGGTAATGGACAGGCTATTGTCTTATCCCAGCCAGCCTGGAGTGTGAGGGGGCAGGAGACTTCCCTCACAGCACCAGTCCTTAGGGGGGTCTCCTGTTGGGATGGTCTAACAGGATGCCTAGAACAAAGTTCTCTTTTGTTCATCTTCTTCTCCTATTTTCTCAGTCTCTCACTCAGTCTATTTTTCTTGCTTCTGTCTTTTCTTTGGTTTGCTTTCTGTTTTGCTTCCCCTGCCCTCTTCCATGTCAACAATTTTTGTGATATGATGCCATACAGTAAAAATATGCCACTTTAACTGACTCCAATGACTGATTGTGCAACCAAATTCTGAAAGTGCAAAGACAATAAAGATTGTCTCATTTAAGGCATGACTTTTTGTTGTCACTCACTTGTTTCTGACTCTTTGTGACCCCATTTCAGGTTTTCTTGGCAAAGATACTGGAGTGGTTTGCCATTTCCCTCTTCAGCTAATTTTACAGATAAGGAAACGGAGGCAAGCAGGGTTAAGTGACTTGCCTAGAGTCATACGGCTAGGAAGTGTTTGAGACTGGATTTGAACTCAGGTCTTCGGGACTCTAGGCCTAGCACTCTATCCATTGCACTACCTAGCTGTCCTTAAGACATGACCAGCATATGGGATTGTTGTTGTAGTTCATCCTTCATTCCCCAAAGAGGACCAAGGACGGTCAGAAGGGTGATGTCTTGATTTGCAAGTGAATTGGATTTAAGTGAGGCAGGGCTCTGCAAAGTGTTAGCCTCACTCTCTCCTCCAGAGTCCTCAGGGTTTAGCGGACACAGGTCTAGACAACTGGTGATAGCCCTGGATACAGTGAGAGACCGTGGCCTTTTTAAGCTAAGATCTTCCCCAGGTCTCAGTTTGTCTGAGGCAACACCCATTCAGTAGTTAAAGGCTAGGTAAGAATTGAGGCAAAAGATGGCCTGGGAAAATTTGGGTTCAAATCCTGATTCGAATGCTAGCTATGTGACCCTGGACAAGTTATTTAACCTCTCTGGTGATGACTATAGGATCTAGACCCCAGAAAGGAAAAACCCTGGACTTTCACATGGCCAAATCTCTGGCATTCCCCTGAGGCTATAATCCCATCAACTGGCCTTTCATTGTGGTTACACCCAGTCTCTGCTCCATTGTTTTAACCTCTCTACGGCCCCTGGCCATTTCCCACACTTAATCCTAGCTAGGCTCCATTGTCCAGGTCCCAGGAGTTCTGTTCACCCCAGCTTACTGGCCACTCCCATCCAGGGCTGGTGTCTATCCACTGCGCCACTTAGCTGCCCCTCAATGTCAGCTTCTATCAGCCATCAAGAAATGTTATCATGCTACTTTCTACTGCTTTCTGCTAAGCATTGTATCTCTGCTGGTCATGTGTCTCCATGTGTTATATTGGTCTCTGCTGAGCGTTCCTACTTGTTTCTAGGCTTAAGTCATGGTATTTTCTGAGATATTCTTTGTTACCATTTGCTAATCATCAACCCTTGCTGCTACCACCTTACCCTCTGCTACAGTCTGACAGTGTATAGTGACTATAAGTTCCTCCCTTAACAGAGAAAGACAAAGCTTTCTGGGACTGAAATGCTAAGCCCATGGAAGCTCCACCTGGTCAAACAGCCAGGAAAAAATTAGCAGAAATCTTTAGGCAAGGATCTAGTCTATTCTTTATGGTCATTCTTCTTTTGCTACTGAGCATGGTCCCAAAGGAGGTAGCTAAGTGGCTCAGTGGATAGAGTCAGAAGACCTGAATTCAAATCCAGCCTCAGATACTTCCTACCTGTCACTTAACCTCTGTTTGCGTTAATCCACTGGAGAAGAAAATGGCACACCATGTAGTATCTTTGCCAAGAAAAGCCCACATAGGTCTCAGAGAGTTGAACACGACTGAACAACTGATCCCTGGCCCCAGCCAAGTATGACTTAGAGTTTGCAAATTCCTTTTAACTCCTGTAAAGTCATTTATTTTCAGTTTGTCTCCTTTTAAAACATTTCAAGAAATCCATTTTGCAAAACTGTGAGATTGGTTAACTGCAACTGTGGTGAAGGGATTCATTTTAATCCCATCACGCCTTTTTGTTGCCATACAAATCAACCCAGGAGCAAGATTGGAAAAGGACAGGTGGGGCTGATGGTTTTTGTTCTATATTGCTGCCTTTATTCTTCATAACTGCCAACAACAAAATTCCTGATTTTTGTTTACTGTTCCAGTTAAGCAACAAGCCTTGTTGGTTGGTACAACAACAGAAGAAAAATAGCCAAGCAAAACTAAGTAACTACATCCAATCATTTATGAGATACTGCATACCTATAGTCCTCACCTCCCTACTGAGAGGAGGAAAGTTTATCTTCAGGTACTCATTACATTACGATTAATCAGAGTTCAGCTATCTTTTATATTTATTGTTTTCATTTACATGATTACAGTGTGTGTGTGTGTGTGGTTTTCTTGGTTCCATTTTCTTTTTTAAAACTTTATGATGTGTTTTGTTTTCATATTACAGACGCTTGCAGGTTACTGGTGCACCATGAGAGGTGGTGTGTAACAAAGTAAAACTATTAGGCAAAACCAATAAGACAGTGCCCTCATATGAAAATATATGCAATATATCACATCTACATCATATTCTCACCTCTCTATTTTCATTAACAGAAATTATTTTTTCTCCATCTTGCTCTGACCTCTCCCCAGTTTGGGGGAAAAAAGAAAAGAAAAAAAATTCCTTACAATAAACATGTATAGTTGAGCAAAATAATTCACTCAGTGCTCAATATGCATGTTTGTTGCAAGGAACACACACACACACACGAAGACACATACATACATATATACACACATATACCCAATATGCTTATACAAATCTACAAATCTACACATATACATATATAACACACATATATACATATCGATATAAAATTTACACACACAGATATATATGTTTAGTATGCAGATGTGTGTGTGTGTGTGTGTGTGTGTGTGTGTGTGTGTGTATTTAGGGTGCAATAGTATTCCATCACATTCATTCCACTATTTGTTCAATCATTCCTCAATTGATGGGCACTCGCTTTATTTCACTTTTTTCTTTTAAGTAGGGTAATAGGTGGTGCAATAGATAAGAGTAGGGCCTGGAATCAGGAAGACCAATCTGACCTCAGACCCTTAGTAGTTGTATGACCCTGAGCAAGTCACTTAACCATTTGCCTCAGTTCCTCATCTGTAAAATGAGCTGGAGAAGAAAATGGCAAACCATTCCAGTATTTTTTGCCCAGAAAACCCCAAATGGAGTCACAAAGAATCAGACACAACTGAAACAACAATAACAAAAATAGTATTTATTTTCTAGGCTAATCATTTGACTCTTCTCATACATTGTCTTATATTTTTTCACATATCTGCATAAAAGCATGTATACCCATCTATAATACATATAAACATAACATACATATTATAATAATACACACATATGTACCTATATACATATGTGTTATATAAACATGTACATCTATCTATACATACATTTCTTTTTTCCCCATTTACTCTGTAAATTCCTTGATGGTATGGACTATCCCTCCTTAGTTACTTACACAAGGTCAGCATTCAATATGAAGTTATTGATTGATTGATTGATTCATATGTTGAGTCAATGGAAGGGATTTTATAATAATTATTAGTATAGCTGACATACACATGCTTGCACGTGACATATATGTATATGTGGATATATGCATAAATAAATCTATATAATACATATTTAAATTTATATATGTATATGTGTACATACATATAGATACACACATATGTAAAACATCTATCAGAGGACAAAGGAGGTCACAAAGCTAGACGGTCTATGTTTCATAGGGTGGGGGGCTTCTGGGTTCATCCTGGCTTTGGGAAGGTGACAAAATTCCTCCCTGCTTTAAAAATAGAGAAGAAAGTAGGAAGCTAGAGTCATGGTGATACCCCAGCCTGGGTCCACATGTGGAACTTTTCCAGAATGGAGTAGAACCTTAGATATTGCTGAGTGGCCACAGTTTCCAGAACTTGAAAGAAGACAGAGCCTTTGTTAGGGGCTCTACAAAGTGGATTGGTGACAGTCCAGAGATGTCTAGAGACAATCAGGCAGGAAGGCCACTAGTGTCTGTCGTTGAGCTGACTTGGAAATTTCATTTGAGCTCTTCCTGGAGCGGAAGCCCATTGCGCATTTACTTGCCCTCATCGACCCTCTAAGTTCCCCTTTTCCTATCAGTCAGGAGTGGGACGACAGGAAGCAGGCTATGCCAATTCTTTATTGCCATCAATCACTATTGGTGAAGCCAGCTTCTTTAGAACCTTTTTCTCTTTCACTGTTATTTGCATTTCTTTTTGAGCTTTTGAAGCTGTATGAAGCTGGACAGCTACCAAATCTATCAGATATGTTTGTTTGGATACACACAGAGATGGAAGAGGGGAAGGAAACCCAGGAAAGGAGGAAATAAAAAATACTGAAGCTTTTTCATAAATTCACTGTACATTACTCCAGCTCAACTAAGGATTTCAGAAGAGTTTATTTAGTTGTCTGAAAAATACTGTTAGTGAAGATTGACCTGGTATAAGTCACTGGGGTGAGCAAATATGGTAGGGCAGCATTTTGGTGCACTGAATTTGAAAGGAAAGCCACACTCATGATGAGAAGGGAGGGAAGTTTCCATCCACCAGATAGGGCAAGGAGGAAGTTACTTGGAAAGAAAGCTATACTTCTGCAAAGGGAGTAGGCAGTGAGCTCAGGGTCAGACTGACATCTTAAAACGTGACCGACAGCTTGGTCTGTCCCTCTTACTAGTACTCTGCTGGTGGATTTTATATAATGTAATACATACATATACACACATGCATGCACATATGTAAGGTTTGCAAAGCACTTAATGTACATTTTCTCATTTAATCCTTCCTACTCACCTGGGAAATTATGAGGTAGCATAAGTATAATTACACCCCTCCTTTTTACAGATAATGAAATTGAGGTTCGGAGAAATGTAAGTGACTTGCCCAGGGTCATGTAGCAAGTGGTAGAACTGTGATTTAAACCTAGGTCTTCCAAATTCACTTCCTATTCTATTACATCCACCTAAACAGCCTCTTCTAGTCCTAATTATTTTCATCAAAACTCTCTGTTTGCAAAACTATTTTTACCTACTTCTGAGAGTTAGTTTAACTTTTATTCTTCTTAGATTTTTTTTTTAAAAAAGGAATATTCTATACCTAGATAGGTTGGAGTCAGTTTTTAAGACCCTGGCACACATTTATGTATTTGCCTTTCCCTTCCCTGGTGGAAGATGTTTGTCTACTTGTTTACCAAGAATCCCAAAATGCCAGATGCCCCAGAAACTGAGTTTTCAACCTTCCTGTGCATGAACTAGGAATGTGATCACCCATTCCAAAGGAAATGATGTGGCAATGGAAATGATGTGGCCAGCTAATGATAACAAGCTGGCTGGTGTTCCATTGCCTACCTGATGGGTAGATTGGAACAGAATTGGCTGAGGGAAGGAGGAAAAGGAGAAAGATATTGATAACTTTATAAAGAAGCATTATGATGTAATTAAGAGTCGGAGACAGAAGTCCTAGTGCCAGTTCTGTCACTAAATTACCTTAATCTTACTTTGTGTCACTTGACCTCTGTCTGCCTCAGTTTCCTCATCTGTAAAATAGGGATAATAATAGCACCTACTTCCGAGGGTTGTTGTGAGAATCACATGAGATAATATTTATAAAATGTTTAGCATAGTGTCTGGTACATAGTAAGTGCTTAATAAATGCCTGATCTTTTTTTAAGGAAGTAGATACATCGTATTAATATTCTTAAATATTTAGAGTTGCATTACGTATATTACATGTAACCTGGTGTCAGACCCTATTCTCTGTTAGCTGGACTTGATTCCTAGTGTGAAGATTCTCAATAATGAATGCTTTCCTTGGCACCTTTTTTCCTCCACTAAGATTTAAAAGTTTCAGGAAACTACTGTAGGTATTCCTCCTTCCGGCGTGTTCAGTTGACTGATGCAGGAAACCATGCCTCCTAATAATTTTGAAACATTAAAGCATTTATTTATAACAGAATCAAACAGTCAAGCATTCCTGATGAGAACCATCTCATTTCCCCTTTTTCCCCTCCCCCAGAATAGTTTGGGTCTTGCTCCCCTCCAAATACTTGCAACTGAAATAGCCAAGAATAGTCAATGTAGTCAATAGTCTGTAGCCAGAGAGGCCAGGAGGAATGGAGTGTGGGTAGGGAAATTGGAAACGTCATAGAAGACAGCACTGGCATCTTTGCTTGGATTGCCAGGCATCCTCATCTGCCAGTCATTCTCAGTCTCTTGCCAATGAGGAAGTTTCCTGGTCCCCTCCAGGGGCCCAGCCTGTCTCCCAGCTCCACACATCTTCACTTATGTCTACCTTCTTTTCCTCCCAATACCCCCTTGTTTGTTACCTATGTATTATGTGCCTTTGGTCCACATAATTTTGGGAATTGTAATCTTTTACCATTGTTACATCCTATGGCTAGTCCACATGTGATCTGCCTCTTTTCTCCTACCTTTTGCAAAGGATTCAGAAGAGAAAAAAAGGAATGTTTTTCACTCATCTTTCTGATATGCATGTATGTAGTTTCAAAAATGCTTTTGTTGTTTAGTCGTTTCAGTCATTTCTGACTCTTTGTGACCCCATTTGGGGTTTTCTTGGCAAAAATATGGGAGTGGTTTGCCATTTCCTTCCCCAGCTCCAGATGAGAAAACTGACACATATAGGTGACTTGACCATGGTCACACAGCTAGTAAATGTCTAAGGCCAGATCTGAACTCAAGAAGATGAGTCTTCTTGACTCCAGGCCCAGCACTCTATCCATTGTACCACCTAGCTGCCTTTTAAATGTTTTAGAATGTTTTACTGAGGCTTTCAAAAAAATCATTCTTAATTCACAATAACTAACCCCCAACCCATAGAATCTTTTGTTGTAACTAAGAGAAACAGTTATGTGACACACATGATACGTTAATCATATCTGACAAACATGCAGCATTCTTTATCCATAGTCCATTGCCTTTCTATCAAGAAGAGAAATATATGTCTCCTTATCAACCCTCTGGAATCAAGAGTGGCCATTGCATTTATAAGGGGCATGTAGAATGTCTGCACCTAATGTAGTTCCTCACACCTCTCACACAGTATATTTGGATTCCTCCTTACGTTCTGGGCTAGCTTTCTCACTCTAGCCTACCTTCATACTGTCAGCACTGGGCTTTCAGAAAAGGCCTATCACCATGCAATTATACTTCACTTTCTTTCAGGGATCTAGGAATAACCTTGTTGTAGGGGACATGCACAGTTATTATTCACCACATTAGGTCTTGAACCTCTACTGATGAACTTCCATCTTCACAAGCCAACCAACTCATAAAAAGAACACTTCTAGATCTTAAACATAACTATTTACTTAGCAATAAGGCAAAAAAAATTAATATCACAACTGCTTGTATACTAAAGCAATAAGCTTAGTATCTGTGGAGAAGAAAGGGCATATACTTACAGGAACCTTGCCAGGAAGCAGGAACACAGATCTGGATTTTAGGCATTGATGAAGCCAATCCTCTGCTAATTGCTTTAATCCTCACTGCTCTTTCCATCTGGGTAAAATCCTCTTTTCTCCTATTTTCTAACACCTACAAATTCTTTCAACTTAACATCCCTGTGAAAAGAGTTGGAAAAGTTAACGTCTTAATCTGGAATGCATTTCCCTTTAAGCCAGAGAACTACAAAACTCATCAGGCTGACTATTTTTGGGTGCTACAAACCCAGCCAGCTATTCATTCACCAGGACAATGTGTCATCCAATTATATCTCGGCATCTTTTCTGATATGGCAAAGCAGCTACAGAACCTATCTTTTCCTTCTCTGCTTTTCCCTTTCAAATCAGGGAAGAGAAGTGAAAAGAGTGAGGTAGCAAAGAGTAGCAAGCTCAAACAGGGTTTTCCCCTTATTTAAGTTCTAGGAGCACTGAAGGGCAATCACTGGAAATCCAGGCTTTGTTTTGCCAATCAGGAAATAGCTACGGAAGCCTTTTTACCAGGTTACTGTTCCTACAGCTGTTTTTTTTTCCAAACAGTTTAGTAAAGCTGTTTTTTTTTTTCTGCTGCCTGTTGAATCTTCTTCTCCTGTCTCTTCTTGGCTACTCTAACCTCAGCCTTTTCTACCTCTTCAGCTTATTTCAATTCAGTGGATTAAATCAGAGTCTCCTGGCACTCATTAACTCACCTTTCACTTAGGAGGTAACCACCCACCAAATTTCCGTTATGAAATTAACAGTCTTTACTTAGTCATCCCTTAGTCTCCATTTAGTTAAGAGATTTTTCATTTTTTTTCTTTTAGTTTTATCCTCTTAAGTATTAAAGCAGTCATATTCAAAAGAGTTGCAGGATCATAATGCTTGGAAGCTCTAAGTACTAAAAAGAATCTTCCATATCAGTCTATGTCCTAGAAATAGTTTCTTCATATTCACATGTTGCCAGCTTTTAACAAATAAAAGGTTTTTCTCTACTCCCTTTAAACCATCAAGTTGTTTACTTACAAACAGGTCCCATGCTACATTATCCTACATCTTTTAAAAGGTGATATAAGTTTTTATATTTATGCCACAGTTCATTTCTTGCCTGAAACTGCTCAAATCCATTCGAATTGTTTCTTTACATATGTATTTTAGAGTTGCACCCCCCTCATTTTAGAGATGACCAAACTGAGGCTCAATACTTTAAAAGATCCACGATTCCATCCATGTGAGAATTCCCTACAACAAATCTTCAGACCTAAATAAACCTTCATGACAATTTGGCCAAAAGGATCATCATTTGGTGACCAACCTTCTGATGATGGGCTTTTCTGAATAGAGCTATACTGGTCTAAACATTTATCTTTAATATAATACAAGTCTATTTTGGCCCAAACTAAGACTTTTCAATATGGCTAAATCTGCTGGCATTACCTTGGAAAAACCAGGACTGCATCCATGCTATGATGAGACATCAGAGTTGGGCTCTAGTGGAGGAGATTGTTAATAATTATATGGAGAGATGTTCACATTTCTTGGTAATTGAAGAAATGTAATTCAAGATATCCCCACAATATTGCCTTAATCCACTAAGTTGGCAAAAATAATATTAAAAATGATAAAATTAAATGTTGGTGAGGTTCTCAGGAAACAATCATTCAATTAGACTGTTAGTAGAATTGTAAGGTGATGAAAACTTTTGGGAGAGCAACATGGAAGTATACAGCAAGTCACAAATTTATCCAGAAATTTGATTGCTAAGACTTTGTCCTAAAAATATAAAAGTGATTTATCTGTGCAAAAATATTTATATATACTTTCTTTTGTAGTAGTAAAAGAAGAAATGGGAGGAGGAAGGAACTCTTTATGCTCAATGATTGGAGAATGACTGACAAAAAAATATTTTTAGGCTAATCCTCTGATTCCTCTCAGTGAGAAAACTCCCTCTAACAATGCAGAGCAGCAACTGTCCTGGAATTTATAGAATTAGAGTATTACCGAGGGAACTGACATGGTCAAATACCAGAATGATCAAATACAAGACTTGAATTCAGGTCTTCCTGATACTAAGGACAACTCTCTAGCCACTAGGCCACGTTGATACTCGGCTGAATAAATAACGGTATATAAATGTCCTGGAATGTTATGGCACATCTATCTAATATATCTATATATGTGCATATAATCCATCATCTATGAATGTACAGTTACTCCTTCCACATTGTGATCCTCCCCATCTCAGTTTTGATGTATTGCAGGTGAGCATAAGAAATTAAAGGGGAATTTTTTGAGTTTTGTAGAAGCTCAAGGAGAAGGCCAGCAGATGGCACAGAAAAAGGTTAGAAACTCAGAGCTGCATAAAATACATGTACAGTATTGTATAATATCAACATATTCTATCTTTTAATATCATAATAATTCAGACTTCTCTGGTATGAAGGGAGGACCAAAAAATTTTATGCAGATTTTCCAGATTGTGATATGTGAAAACTGTATATGTATGTTTATCCAGCTATCAACTCATCTCTCTCTCTCTCTCTCTCTCTCTCTCTCTCTCTCTCTCTCTCTCTCTCTCTATATATATATATATATATATATATATATATATATATATATATATATGAATCATTTATCTATCATCTACATATACACATATGTGTCATCTATCTGTCTAACTATCTATGAAGGATAGAAGGAAATGTGGAAAGACTTACATGCTGTTATACAATGTGAGATCAGCAGAATCAGAACCACATCCACATTAACTATCAATTATATCCAATGCAACTCAACATGTATTTATTTATTTTATTTTTAAATTTTATTTATTTATTTTTAGTTTTCAACATTCCCTTCCATAAGATTTTAAGCTCAAATTCTCTCCCTCCTCCCTCCCCCCCCCAAGATGTCATGCAATCTGATATAGGCTCTACATATACATTCATATTGAACCTATTTTCACATTAGTCATGTTGTAAAGAAGAATTAGAACCAATGGGAAGAACCATAAGAAAGAAGAAACAACAAAAAAAGAGCAAATAGTATGCTTCAATCTGCATTCTGACTCTATAGTTCTTTTTCTGGATGTGGATCAACAAGTATTTATTAAGAGCATGGTATATGCCAGGCATAGTGTATTTTGCTTTTGCATCCATGATGTTCATCATTTCCCATAGGCAGCACTTAGTAAATGTTTGTGGAATTGAATAAAAGTCATTTATGCTGGCCATTAATGATACAACTATGGTAATAATGGATCAAATGAGAAAATACAGGTAAAGAGCTTTGCAAACCTTAAGGTTTTATATAAATGTTATCTATATTTCTATAAAGACAAAAATGAACATAGCGTCTGCCCTCAAGGAACTTGTAGTCTAAGAAAACAAAGCCAACGGGAATGGAACTTCAGTTCCATTGGAAGGGGACACAGAACAAACATGTTTTCATTTGTTTGTTAATATGTTTGGTTTTACTTTATTAATATCTATGATAGGTTGTCTGGACCTTTGGCCCAGGGATTCTACCAGTGGGCATATACCCCAAGGAAGGCAAAAGCAGAAAGAGAGATCCAATATGTACTAAAATATTCTAGCTGTGTGGCCCTGGGCAAGTCAGTTAACTTATCTCCACCTCAGTTTCTTCATCTGTAAAATGTGAATAATAATATTTGCACTAACTACTTTAAGAAGAAGCATAATGCAGAATAGCAGCTCTCAGAGTGTGGTTTGGGGAGTCTTAGGAATCTCTGAAATCCTTTCAGGGGGTCCACAAAGTCAAAACTATTTTCATAATAATACAAAAATATTTTGATTTCTAATAGGATAAGTATCTATAGATACAACTTACATAATCAAAAGATTTTTGGAGGGAAAGTCCTCATCACTTTTAAGAGTGTAAAGGGGTCTTGAGACCAAAAAGTTTGAGAATCTCTGGTATAATGGATAGAGAACTACCTTCTGAGCCAGGAAGACCTGAGTTTGAGTTACCCATCTGATTCATAGTGGGCACATGTGACCCTGGGCAAGTCACTTACCATTTCAGTACCCAAGGCAACTCTTTAAGATTATAAATTGCAGAGAAGGTGCCACCTGCATTGGTCAAGGAAGTTCCTCACCTGGCAATTCCTTACAACAATGAATAACAAATCCAATCCCTATTCCTGTCCCTATCTGCCTCACTGGACTGTTGTGAGGAAAGTACTATGTAAACCTTAAAATGATAAATAGAAATGGGGACCATCACCAGTCATTTTTACTTTTGTCACGCCTCTGGACGCCAATGACCCTGGAGGAGAGAGTGAGGCTGATGACTGTGCAGCTCAGCCTTGCTTAAATCCAATTCATGAGCAAGTCAAGACATTACCCTAGTGATGTCATTGATCCTCTTCTAGAAGGAGGGACAAACAACAATAAATATAAATGGGAGGATTAAGAAGAGTGAAGGTGTCTTTCAATCAACCTGAGGGGGTGGGAGAAGCACCTCTTTAGCCAAACTCCCCTAGGACCTAACAAGTCTAGCCATCCAAAGCAGTCATAGGAGCTTTTGGACAGAAATTTATAAACATCATTAGTTTGGTGGTAGGCACTGAAACCCTAACAAAGGGAAGAGGAAACTATGAAAAATGTTATTTGACTTCATAAATGTAACACTAATTAGAGTAATTTATAGCTACTGCTTAATTATGAGGTGGCTCTTCTCCTTGCCAAGGCCAACTGCTCTACAGGTATCCTGAATCCCATCCCCTCCTTTCCTCTCTAGCATGTTGCCCCTACTATAATCTCTATTCTCTTTCTGATCTTCATTTTCTCCCTATCTACCAGTTCTTTTCCTGGCAGTACAAACACGACCACATCTCCCTCATCCTTAAACAACTCTTACTTGATCTAATAATGCATGCTAGTTATCTTTCTAGATCTCTCTTCCTCTTTTTCTTGGCTAAATTCCTTGAGAAAGCCGTCTACATTAGGTGTTTCTGCTTCCTCTCTTCTCACTGTCTTCTAAGAAACCCTGTTCAATCTGGCTTCCTAAATCATTGTTTAACTGAAACTGCTCTCTCCAAAGTTGTACTTTTTCCCAGTTCTCATTCTTTTTTACTTCTCTGCAGCATTTGGCACCATTGATCACCTTTGCCTTCTGGATATGCT